CTTCATCGACACTGGATATGGCAGATATAGTATGGGTGACATTTAATAAGGCTTCATCGACACTGGATATGGCAGATATAGTATGGGTGACATTTAATATATATTTACTTTCATTCTAACATTCCAGATTTAATTTCTTGGGTGTTGGAATGGTGATATGAGTTGTCATTTTTGATTCATTGGATGTCTGAAAGAGGGATTTCGGTTCGCGTTCTTTGTTCGTAGGTTGTTGGAAAGGGGGATACAAGTTTACATTATTGGGTGTTAGAAGAGGTTGAAATTTTAATTATTGGTTCATTGGGATTTGAAGGGGTTGTAAGGTCACATTGTTGGGTGTTAAAATGTAAAGTTTGTGTTGTTGGTTCGTTGGAAGTAAAGAGCATGTAAAGTTTGTGTTGTTGGTTCGTTGGACGTAAAGAGCAACGAACCAACAACACAAACTTTACATGTTCTTTACATCCAACGAACCAACAACACAAACTTTACATGTTCTTTACATCCAACGAACCAACAACACAAACTTTACATGGATGTAAAGAACATGTAAAGTTTGTGTTGTTGGTTCGTTGGATGTAAAGAACATGTAAAGTTTGTGTTGTTGGTTCGTTGGATGTAAAGAACATGTAAAGTTTCTGTTTTGGTTCGTTGGATGTAAAGAACATGTAAAGTTTGTGTTGTTGGTTCGTTGGATGTAAAGAACATGTAAAGTTTGTGTTGTTGGTTCGTTGGATGTAAAGAACATGTAAAGTTTGTGTTTTGGTTCGTTGGATGTAATAAACGTGTAATTTTTGTGTTGTTGGTTTATTGGATGTAAAGAACATGTAAGTAATTTTCCGAACAGTAGTTATTTACTTAATCATTGGAGGTTAATTATCAGTGGATGGGACACAGTTTACCATTAAAGTTTTGAGTAGAATTATATTAAATATGAATTTTTCGCATGAAATCTGTTTTCCTACGAGTATCATCACAATCCACCATCTTCTATTTCACCAGTCTGAGCAACTCGTTATTAATTTAAACATTCTTTGTTCATATAACCAATTTCAAAGGATGGTTAATGGTTTATCCAATGAGGTGAAGAAAGAGGACCATTTGATGGGGTTTTTCATATTATATATTTCAATCCAGAGTCCAAAGCTACTTGTTACCTGTTTGAACCACAACATCAAGTTTGTAGTCAGGAACGTGAGGATGATATTACTTAACAAATTAGTGTTTCACTTTCATACGAAGTATCGTAAGAAATTATTGAAGGCATATCTTTTAAATGTTTTGCCTTGAGAGTCGAGGTGAGCAAAATATATTTGACACTTAAAAACACAAACTTTTACATGGGTGTAATTAAATTGACAAAAATGTTAATGCGGATTATTTATCTTATGCAGATTAAAATAAATAATTTTGAAAGGAAAATAAATTCTTATATTAAGATAATCTTTTTTTGTAATGATAGAAAGTTTACTGTTTCAAGGTCACTGCTTAGTGACGCCATCTGTTGAGTGTTTAGAAAGGTACAGTTTTCACTTATGCTAATATACAAAACTAAATCTCTGCTGCTACCGTGCACGTAAAACGTTTTCGTTATTCAGTCATCCCAGATGTTACATTGTAGTAGGGCCAGAATACAACATACTGAAAGGTAGTACTAGATACAGAACCATACTTCACCAAATTAAAAAGATTTACAAAAACTGGCATTTCAAACATAATCTGTTTACAGGAGTAGCAAATAAGATAAATTTTCAGAAGAATATGCCAAAACGTGTTCGATCAGTGAAGTGTATAACTCCTATATATTATGTATCCATCATCTTTACATAAGTCCTTCAGTTTGTCTGGAAAAAAAATGACTAAAATTCTTTCACATCAGTGGTCTAATTTACTGTATTTTGAAACAGTAAGTTGTATTTAAAGGTGTTTGATAGAGGTTTAATGTGGGTTATGAAGCATAAATATGATGAAACATCAAATTAAGAACAATAATAATAATTTAACTAACACATTTCCCACAAGGGTATGCAGAGTTTGAGACTTATTTTCGGTTATGAGTTACAACAGTGTTTAATATTTTCTACAGTAGTTGTCGAGTTAGGTCTTCTAAAATATTTCTAATTTTCCCACTCTTATGAAAAATTTAGATATTTTTTTTAAGTATATTCTTCTTCTTACAGAAAACTTTAAACCGGTATAATTTTTATATATTTCATACCTTTGGAAACACGGGCTTATATAAATGATAACGTTTGGTAATCTTTGAAAAACAAACTTTGTTTAAACTTTTATATAGCACCATTTAACAGCCAATGATATTTTTTTGGGGAGGTTGTAATATTCTGTGAAAGGGTACTGCTTATCTCATGAAATTATAAAAGTGGATAATTTTATAATTTCAATTAATTTAAGATAACCAAACTTATATTTCAGCAATTTTCCTACACTGATGTATGGCCATCACTGAATCTTTGATGAAGGAAGGCAAGATCTTTGTGACCATGGCTACCGAACAGTCATTTGAAGTCTACAGTCAAAAGTGTGTTTCTCCACCTCTGAGGTTTAATATTGCTAATGGAACTGCAAGCATCATTGAGATGTCTAATGGTCATGGTAAAACCAATGGCAATAGTAGTGTTAGTGAAAAAGGAGGCTTTGAAGATGATGAATTAACTAATCTCACATGGTTACAGGACACAAATTTGTTGAAGAACATTCAGATGGGTTCCTGTGGTGAAGCTGAAGTCATTTTGAATGACAACCAAGCTGATGATCTTTTTGAAGATGCAGCAGATGATGGAAGTGACAAAACAGAAAGCCCATTCTCTAGCAAGTCTACACTCACTGAACCCTATAATCCTCAGGTTCATGTGAATGCTAAGCCTCCCTACTCTTTTAGTTGCCTTATTTTCATGGCCATCGAGGACTCTCCGGTTAAAGCACTTGCAGTCAAGGACATTTACTCGTGGATTCTTACCCACTTCCCTTACTTCCAGAATGCCCCTACGGGTTGGAAGAACTCGGTTCGTCATAACTTGTCTCTGAACAAGTGTTTCAGCAAGGTTGACAAGATCAAGGGTCAGGTACGTTTATTTAACAGGTAGGAGAAATGTAGTTCAGTATACAAGTTCCGGGTAAGGTACTGGAGTAGGAATAAGGGAATATATGTAAAAAAAATTATTTTGTATACATATAGTTAAAAAAACTAAAACTTTTAGCATTTTTCTTACTGAATATTTTTTAGCATAAATAAACAGTCGTGAGTTATAGTAATTAATATGAAAGGTGAGTTTCATAAAGTTTTTCTTCTTTATTGAATTTATCATTG